CCAGGCCCAGAGTTCAAGTCCCACGACTGACAAAAAAAAAAAAAAAAGAAAGTCGTGGTGTGCTTTAAGTGCTATTTCCTACAAGGTCCTAGACAAGGCAGAAGAAACAGCTACTCAGGAAGGTTGCTCATCTCAACTTTAAAAGGAGCCGGTTGGCATTCTGTGGTGACAGGGCTGTACCAGTCAAAGGCAACTTGCTTTTTTTTCTCTAATAAATGACCTGGTCCTTGTGTAATGGGCCCTAGGTTGTGCAGTATTTCCTGTCTAAACAGTTACCGAGCCTCCCAGAAGCATCTTTGAAGATGAGGAGAAATGATGTTCCTGCCACCAGTTTATGACAGGCAGTTTTTTCCCCACATGAGAAGCAAATGTAGCTCATTGGTGAGTTAAATAAAGGTCGGAAATCACCGAGTAAAGATGGAGTTGTCAACGCAGTTGAACGAATAAAAACAAGGGACTGGGCATCATTTGTGACTCCTTGCTGGAGGCTGGAGGCAGACATGGGAGACTGGCGAGACTGAAGAAGGCAGGGGGAGCCGCGGATTCCTAGACCAGAATGAGAATCCCTGGGAGGACGGCGACACCGAAGGCATCTTCACAGGGTAAGGAACGAGGAGGGCCCTGGTGAGAGAGAGATGCCTGTTCTAACTATAACATAGGCCTGCTAGCCTCAAACCCAGCGCGGGCACCTGGGGACGGGGGGGGGGGTGAGGGAGAAGGGGGGGGGTTCCTGTGAAGAAAGATGCTCTGTGGCTCCCCTTGTCGCGGAAGGCGACAGCGGGGCACCACCTTGAAAGAAGGTGCGACACATTGAGAATGTATTAAAGGCACCCGTGGGCAAGCCTCCGGCGGAAGGCACGCCTAGGAACAGCTGCTCAGTACAAAACTCAAGCTAGGTCGCCGACAGTCGCCAACCTGGGAGACGGCGGGCTCGGGCAAAAGCACAGACGGAGCTGGGAAAAGGGTCGGGCCCTGCTGCTCGCGTGGTGCTCATGTCCTGAGATTTAAATCCCCTCCTGGACTTGTCTTCTCCTTGTGCTGCTTTATGCCTCTCTCCATTGACCTCCAATCCTACA